ACATATGGTTAAAGTTAAATATGTTAGTATTCCACTGTCGGTTCTATCTTTATCTAAATGTTCTCCAACTACCCAAGCCCTACTGAGCAACCATCAGGCATCTCTTTACACCTACTTCATGTTGGCGGTCATCTTCATTATGATCTTTGTGACTTGGGGTTGAATAAATTGCACTTTTTTTAACATGTGGTGCTTCCCTCTTTCTAGTATGCCGAAGTTCACTTTCACTGTCGGGATCAAGATCTTGGTGTCCATGACTAGCATCATGCCCACTGTGCTCTGGAAGATGTGCGTGAGGATGATTCGAGCTGTGTGCACGGTCAAGCTTGTGAACCCGATTATGCTCATACTGTTCACTGTGATCGTGGCTGGGGAGGAAACCTGGTGTGTTAACCTCAGAGTTTTCATTCTTTTTCTTCCCTTTTTTCTTCTTCCTTACTTTCAGGGACTTAACTTCAGACTGTTCTTGTGTTTTATTGGTCTCTGTTGAAGGTCCATGGCTAGTCTCGCTATGCTCACTGTGAGTAATGGAATCATTGTGAACATGACGAGTAGTGTTATGATCCAGGTGATGGTGTGAACGGTGGTGATGATGAAAGCGATGATTGTGGTCATGCAGGTGCCTGTCATCAGATTTGACCAGTGCTTCAGCTGTCTCCTTCTCTGGGTCACATCTGTGGTTTCTTTTTGTTGATATACTGGTCACAGTTTGATTTTCTGAATTTAAGTGATTATGAGAATGCTGGTGGTTGTGCGAATGAAAATGCTTTCCCTCTTGAACTGCCAAAATGTCTAAGTGTGAAACATGATCGTGGCCGAGATCCTCATGATTAATCTCAACTACTTTTATCTCTCCAAGGCCCAAGTTTGTTAAAAGTTTCTCCAGACCAAAAAATGATAATCTTCCATTTTCACCATAACGGTCAAAAAGTTTTTCAATATAGTACTTTTTCTCATTTTCAGCATCCTGCACTGAAAATTTGCTGGGCTCTGACTCTGTCATCCCACGATGATGCCTGTGAAGCTCCTCAAGGCCATGGTCATGTTCTTCATGGCAGTGGTTGCAATGATGGAAAACAAATGTCAGCAAACAAATGAGGCAAAATTTCGTGTGTATGTGCACCTTCATTTCTATTTTTCCTGGATGGATTTAAAAAGACAGGATTAATTTATACCTAGGTGCCTTTAAAATAATAAGATTCTTTTGCATTTGCCAATCCACTAAACAAATATTTTATCTGACTTCTTTTATGACTATAAATCATTCCTTCTCCAAAATTCTCTATAAAATTCATTTAACTATATTGATTTTATTTTATTAAACTTACCTATTAAATTTCATTACTTTAATTATATTAATGTAAAGCCCTTTTAGTTAATATGAATTTCTCAAGACTCAGGACTATCTGACTCCCTTTAGCAAAAACAGCAAAGAGTCTACGTACATTTCCATTGCTGGCTTCTTTTCTATCTGGTCCTTTATAAAACAAAGTCTGCTGCTTCTTGTAAACTGATGCCCTGGTTAGGGCAATAAAAAATAAAATGAATGAGAACTTGAAAAATGGTTCAGCAGTTAAGAGCATGTACTGCTCTTGCAGAGGATCCAAGTCCAGTTTCCCGTACCCATATCAGACAGCTTACAACCACCTGAAACACGAGTTCCTGAATCCATCACTCTCTTCTGGCCTCCACAGGCACTTGCACTCACATGCACATTTACCCGCACAGGCATGCACATACACATATAATTAAAAATAAGATATTTTTAAATAAATTAAAATGGCTAAGAACCAGAAAAAAACTCATTACTTACAAATGGCTAGAACCAAGTATGACAAAAATCCAAAAGTTAATGTTGTACACTTGCTTGATATAAGAAAAACCTAAAATCAAATATATTTCTATACATTATACATACTTGAGAATGAAATTAGTAAATAACACTATAATAGCAAACAAAGAGCTAGGAATAAACCTGACAAAAGATGTACAGCCTTTACAGAGAAAAGGATCACACATTATTGAGTGAAACTGAAGACCTAAGTAAATGGATGGCTATAACGTGTTTATAACTAAATGAACTACAATCCAAGTACTGTCAGCCTCCCCTCGGCCTGGACTCTGCTGCTACTGGGAGACCGTTGCACACAGGTTCCTGTCCAGAGGATTGGGGTGGGGACACGGGGTGGGGGCACACCTGGGAGTCTGTGTCAGCAGACAGTTCGTTTTAATTTGGCAACACGGAAGTTTTTATAGGGAAGTTTCGTGGGCAAAGGGGCAGGGTTGGGTTTCTGGCGGGCAGGCAGGAAGGTATAGGGGGAGGGAGGGGGTCTGGTCACGTGATCTACAAGAGACCTGGTTAGGATTAAAGGATTAGAGACCTAATAGTTTTGCCTGGGGGCTGTTGGGTAAGAGACAGTGTGTTTAGAATGGAGTGGGCCTGACTCCTGCCGTCCTCACTGGGAGGTCTCGGGGGTTGCATGGCCATGCTCTACATTCCTACAAGCAATCCTGACTTGTCCCAACAAAGTATTGAAAGTTAATCTGTGAAAAGTGATGAACTATACTTAACTGTTTATGTAAAAACAGAAAGGATCCAGAATAGCTAGGACACGCTTAATGAGAAAAGCAGGAATATTTGCTCCATTTGCTCTTAAGAAGGCACAATATTTGGTGCAAGACTAGATCAAAGGAGAGCTGGCTCAGTGGATTAAGGTACTTGCTGCCAAACCTGATAACCTGAGTTCAATCCCCAGAGCCCAAATGGTGGAAGGAAAAAACCAACGCCCAACAGTTGTCCTTTGACCCCCACATACAAACCATGCGGGGGTTTGTATACAAAGCATGGCATGCCTGTCCCTCCCATACACCAAATAAATAAATGTAAAAACCAAAGGAACAAAATAGTCTCTTAAAAAAGGTTAAAAATGTTCTTCTTGGCACTTGGTTAATTCAATTTGCACACAGAAGGAAGAAAAACATTGCTTAATTCCTACCAGACACTCTACATGAAAATCAATTACAGATACATTATGAAGCTAAGTTTATGATAATAAATGCTATGACAATAACGTATCCAGAAATACACTGTCCAAGAAGGTAGCTACTAGCCACATGTGGCCATATAAATCTGAATTAAAACCAAATTTAATATTCAGCTTCTTGGTAATTTAAAATGCTCTATATCCACAATGCTAAGGGCTGTCGTCTTGGACAGGACAGATACGGAATGCAATCATCATTACAGTAAGTTCTACTGGATAATACGCTTCTAGAATCTAAAAATATAAAGTGAGTCAGCTATGTTATTTCTAATTTTTCTAGAATAAACATGTGAAACTAATTTCATATTATATTCTAGCCAACTCACTATATCTGAAGCTTATTAACTAGGCCTTTTCCATTCCATTTAGTACTATGTCTTTGAAGTGATGCATGTATTTTACAGTTACAGCACAACTCAATTAAGACTAGCATATTTCAAGTGCTCAGTAGTCATATGTGGCTACTAGCCACTCTTACTGGAAAGTACAGATCCACAAAAATTGAGAAACTAAATTAAGAACTTCAAGACACAAAAAGCACTGTAAAAGACTGACATTATTTACATTAAAACTAAGAATTTCTGTTCAGCAACAGGCATCACTGAAAAACAAAAACAAAAGAGCTATCCATTGGGAGAAGATTATCAGAAGTACACACAGGAGTATATGGTCTACATAGTGAGTTCCAGGACAGCTGGGGCTACAAGGAGACCCTGTCTCAAAAAGACCAAAAAAAAAAAAAAGGCAAGAATTTGGAAACTTGCTAATAATGCCAGTCAGGTGCAGAATGGTCTCTTTTAGAAAAACTGGCAAGAAGGCCTGGAGAGATAGATGGCTCAGCCATGAAGAGCACTGTCTCCTCTTGCAGAGGACGGCATTCGGTTCCCAGCATCTACGCGACAGCTAACAACCTCTCCAACTTCAGGGGATCCAACACCCTTTTCGGACCTCAGCAGGCATCACATGCATGTGGTACACTTATATACATGTAGGCAAAACACCACTATACATAAAATTTCTTTAAAAAAAAGAAAAACTAGCAAGATCTGCCAAAACTGGAACATAAATGCACCTGTATATCCTCAGACATAGAATTCTACTCCTAGGTACACAAAGAACTCAATGAACATAGGTACCAAGAGATATCAGCACGGTAATTCGTAACATTCATTTTACACAGCTCAAAGCTGAAGGAAAAAAACCTAAAACATTTATCGGCAATAAAGTGAATAAAATATAATAATCTTACAATAGAGGACTGAGATTACAGCTTCACACATTAACAAAGATAAATTTCACAAATATTAGAGTGAGCAAAAGATGATAAACCAATGAAAACTATGGTATATGATTCAATTTGTATGAGGTTCAAAATTAGCAAAAATCAATGAATTAATTTTAAAAAGAAGTGAATAATGAGCAAAACTAGCTGGGCATGGTGATGCGTGTCTTAGATCCCCGCACTTGGGAGGCAGAGGCTGGCGAAGCTCTGTGAGTTGAGGCCATTGTGATCTATGTAGAGAGTTCCAGACTATCTAGGGCTATACAGTGAGGCCTTTTCTCAAAATAAATTAAATAAATAAATAAACAAATAAGCAAAACTAAAGCAGAATAACAACTGTTTTTCAAGAAGGAGGTGGGGGATGACAATTGAGAAGAGACCAAAGTGAAGGATTCCAAAACTGTAATGCTCTTTCCTGACTGGAGTCATAATCACACAAAGCTTAGTGGAGTAATTCATGGCACTTGTGCTGTGTGTACTTTCTAAGTATCTTCTGTTTAAAATAATAGTTTTGGAGGAAAGAAAGAATTAGGTGCTGAGGATCAAATCTGGGGCCTCCTACATGTCAAGCACACACTAGCATTTTATAACATGATCCCTAAAACTTTTCTAAAAATGAAATCTCTCCAGTGAAAACCAAGTAGAAACTGTAATTATGTAAAAATCATAGGCTGGAGAGATGGTTCAGTGGTTAAGAGTGCTTGCTGCGCAATCATGAGGACTGAGTTCTGATCCCAGTATGAAACAAATGGGATGTCTTGAGAATGCCTGTATCTCCAACTCCAAGAGGTCCAACACCCTCTTCTGGCCTCCACATATACATGCACCCCCACATACATGTGCTGATATATTCATGGAGACATATACACATAATTTTTTAATTATATAGTTTAATAAAAGAATAAGACACATGAGATAATTTTTAAAAATCATGACATTATTGAAAAATGGGAAAGACCTGTAAAAACTGGGCATATGCCGTGTACACACACATGAATGCAATGTTAGCTGAAGGACTATTGGGCAGCTGATTACTACTGGGTGAGGAAGGGCTGATCTTTAGGGGAGTGACTCTAGATAAGTTGACCAGACTCCAATGTATGAACTTGCACTGAGGGATGTCAGGGGAGACTAACTTAACTCGATAGGCCTTAACATAAATGACAGAATGTATGAAATTGGGGGTGGGGTATATGGGAAGGTACCAATGGGGAAGGGGTATAAAGATGATTAAGATGTTGTGTATGAGCTACACAAAAATTCAATTAAAAAAGAAATACAGTCTTTCAAGTGTACACAAAAGTTAAGTCAGTGTCAATCAACATCCTCATAGCTGTTTATCTTGAGATTTCAGAAACCCAAAAGTTCATAAGGAACAGCAAAAAACAAAAGACATCAAGAAAATCCAGCAGATTATTAGGGTAGTAAAGACTTTTCATAAGGTTAAAGCAAGTAACAGAACAGAGAGATCATGAATCTTGTGATACCTTGATTTCGGGCTTCTGGTCTCCAGGGGTGTAGGACAATAAACTGCTGTTGGCTGAGCTATGAGTTTGAGGCACTCTGTTATGGAAGCCATAGAAAATAACATAAGGACTGACTTGGAAAAATCACCAGAATCAAGATGTCAACAACTATACTCTGGGTGCACTATTACATCTAAGCACAAGCAATAATATCCAATCATGGACTAAGGAAAATGCCATATCTTTTGAGATAGAAAGTAAAATATCTCATGAAAAGGAGGGGACATGTCCTAGCAGGAAGCAGTGTGTAGGCTTCTCAAATACATAGGAGGAGTGGGGTGGGGAAAT